AAAGAAATAAGTGTATTAGTTATATTATCTTTATTTTTCTACAATATAAAAATTCTTTATATTCAAATTTATTAATTGATTATATTCGCTACATTGTCCTTACAATGTCTTAATTCAGTGAAAAAAAAATTATTCATTATCAATAAATTAATTAAGAGAAATATTTTCATTAGTTATATTGTCTTTATTTTTCTCAAATGTAAAAAATTTTACATTCAAATTCATCAATTGATTATATTCACTACATTGTCTATTATCTTTTTTGTGCACTATTTTTCTAATTAAATATCAAAGTTATAATACAAAATAATGCTATATATTTATTTACCAAGTATTTTATTAATACCATGAAAAAATTAAAAAAAATATATATAATTAATAAAGCCAACCATATTAACTACTTGAGAGATTTTGTGACAAAGAGAGTATTCAAATCACACAACAATTTGAAGTGAGAACTACTTGCAATGTTCTTGTTTGACAATCAGCAGTTAGCGGATTTGACCAACGAATTTATTTAATTATTAACATTGGGTAGAAAAAATGACTGTCAAATTATTAAATCAAATGATGGTTCAAATTGTTCAGGTTTTAATTTTTTTTTAAAATTTTTCTAATTTATCCTTAATTATATGATTATCCATTTAACTTTTCCGTTAAATACCGTTAATTCACCGTTAGTCTAATTCTAATATTAACGTCTAATATAGAATTATAATTACACCATTAATCTAATTCTAATATTAAAGTCTTAATAGAACTTAACCACAAATCCTAATGTCGAAATCTCCTCAAACAATATTAGTATATATTTAATATTTTATGCCCTAATTTTTATTTGTTCTCCCTTATGTCCCGTATTTGGTTTCAACCATAACTATACAATTATTTTATTGACAATTATAATCAATCTTGACTATATTATCTTGCATATGTAAACTTAGAATTACTTATTTAACCCGCACGGGCTTAGCCCAATGGTTTAGTGGGCAGTATTTGGGAGAAGAGACCAAGGTTTGAACCTCGGCGGCGGCAGTGCGGGAATTATGTCCAAAGTGGGCAGATTCCTTGTTCGCACCGGCATTTGGTCCTGTCTGCTGAACCATTGAGTCACCGTGATTTACAACTTCCTACAATGCTCTGTCGGGTCAGAGTGTGGGGGGCCCTTGGGGTAGGGGACTCAGGGAGAAGAATTACCTATTTAAATACGCAAATTCAACCTTCAATTATCTATGCATGAACAATTTCAATATAATCTTGCCTTAATATACTTTAAAGTACTTATTTAAAAAAAAAAAAAAAAACATTGGGCATTATCTCAATCGCGCAATGCGCGTAAAAAACTAGTATATATATAAAAGAAGTGTCAGACGCGCTCGTGTGGGTTACTGCTGTGGGCGTTTGCTTCCTCTGACATTGCATTGTTTCAAGAAGTGGGTCTTTGCAAGAGGTTTTTTTTTTTTTTTCCTCTCACCTGTTTCTCTCACCTCCAAGGGAGCGTTTGGTTCAGGTCATCTTAGATTATAGAGGTAATTTGAGTCTGGTAATATTATATTACCTTGTTTGGTTCAAGTTATGAGATTACCCGGTAATATTATATTACCTGAAAGTTGATGTGGCAGTAATGTTTCAAGGTAATGTGATTACCCCTGTTTTCTTAGGTAAATCTTAGATTACCTTGAATTATTCCTACTTTGTCCTTGTTAAGTAATCCTTAAATAATAATAATAATAATAATAATAATAATAATAATAATAATAATAATAATAATAATAATAATAATAATAATAATAATAATGTGTTATGTACTGAAATTTAGTACGCAACGGAAGAAAACTTTCGAGCAGACTTCTGGCTCCTAACCGTATTCGAGTCACGGCAAACTCCAATTTCACACTTCGAGCGTGTGAAAACTCCAAGAAGAATAACTAAAGAATAGAATAACAATATATTTCTATCTTCTTCATCTTCATATACAATAACCTATTTATACTAATTTACTAATACCTATAATAATTAACCTACCAAAATTATAATAACTATACAAGGTAATAATATATTATTATGATATACATATATATAATTTCTCTATGCTAATTTAGGCACAATATTAACTCTATCACTAATTAAGTTATACAATAATCCTAATTATCCTAAAGATTCTAAAAACTTGTATAATTACATTTAAGGGCGTATCACTCTCCAGTCTCCACCCCTTCAAAAAAACACCTTGTCCTCAAGGTGTAGGTATGGAAATGAGCATATTCATGCCTTGATGATACAACTTGATTGATTTGCCAAATGTGGACATCATAGACAACATGTTCACTGGATTGCCTTCTAAGTTGTAATAGAATTCCTTGTCAGTGTCATGATTTGGACAAATTTGGGAATCATTTCTACTGCAGAGTGGATGAAATTTTTATCCAAAGACACTATTGATGTGAAAATTGATTCTTGAAACAATTGGGGGGACTTAATATGTACAATTGTAGTTGCTGCTTTATCTTTGATTGGTGCTTCAATTCAATTTGGGCTGAATCCATGCGAACTGTGTTGTGTTCCCCCATAGTATTTGGTGCATGATCTACCTCATTCTCAGTAAAATTTTAAATTTCTTCTTGATTGGCTTGATTAGTATAGTCCTCACCAACAATTGCACCAGAACTCATAGCAAACACATTATCACCAATCTCTTTTTCGATTATCACTTCCGCGTCAATTTCCACCTGAAGAGTGGGAGTTTGATGATCTATTTCTCAGCATTTAGCCATTATTAATTCTGCATCAGGAAATTCTATATTCATAGTGCAATACTCATCGTAAATGTTTTGGCCTTCGAATGTTTGTTTGGCTATGATTGAATCCACAATGGAATCAAACCATACCAAAGCTTGAAAGGTGTGGCCATCATCCTTTAAAATATGAATATATTGCACGGATCCTGCCGTAGAAAAGATCTCATATAATACAAAATCATCGATCGGATATCATACTTGGTATACAGAAACCAATAAACACCAGTGAGTAATATTTTCCATAATAATTTTATTAAAAAAAACTCTCTTTTTTTTTTTGAATTTTTTTTCTTTCTGTCGCCTTTTATTTTTTTCAAATTTGTTTCTCCTTTTTTTTAAAAAAAAAATAATTCTAAAGGATGGAACAAAAACTAAATAAATAAATAAATAAAAAGATAAGGGATACACTCACCAATGGAATCAATGAAAGCACCAATGTTACGTACTAAAATTTAGTACGCAACGGAAGAAACCTTTCGAGCAGGCTTCTGACTCCTAACCGTATTCGAGTCACAGCAAACTCCAATTTCACACTTCGAGCGTGTGAAAACTCCAAGAAAAATACCTAAAGAATAGAATAACAATATATTTATCTCTTCTTCATCTTCATATACAATAACGTATTTATACTAATTTATTAATACCTATAATAATTAACCTACCAAAATTACTTTCAAAAAAAAAAAACCTACCAAAATTATACTAACTATACAAGATAATAATATATTATTATGATATACATATATATAATTTCCCTATGCTAATTTAGACACAATACTAACTCTATCACTAATTAAGTTATAAAATCCTAATTATTCTACAGATTCTAGAAACTTATATAATCACATTTAAGGGCGTATCATAATAAAATAAATATATGTTTATATAATCAAATATACATGTATGTATATTTATATATTTAATTTTTTTAATATTTCACACACACACACGCGCACACACACACACACACACACACACACACACACACACACACACACACACACACACACACACATATATATATATATATATATATATATATATATATATATATATATAGGGTTGAGTTCAAATGAGGACAACAATATATAGAGGACTGTGAGGACAAATAATGGGCACACAGCAAATTTATACCAGGCACACAACTTAATACATAATGGCACACAAGAATAAATGTAAACATCAGGTTTCGAACCCAGGCTCTATAAATTAACAAATCTAGCGCGTGACATACAAACTGTGGCACACGACTACATTCGGTCATGCACACGACATACCTGCTAATGGCACACACTACATTTGTCCTCACAGTCCTCTATAATATACTTGTCCTCATTTGAATACACATCTATATATATATATATATATATATATATATATATATATATATATATATTTGAGGATATTATAGTAAATTGATCAATATAACCTAAAATATAACCCTTAACCAAACAAGGTAATATTATATTCCACAGTCCAAACAAAACACATAAGATAATCTTACATTCCCCATATCTCACATTACCTTCCTGCAGGTAATCCTATTACCTGGGGTAATCTAAGATTCCATGAATCAAACGCCCCCCAAATAGGATGCAATGTCTTAAAATTCGTGAAAGAACCCCTCATTAACTCCTGATATGGATGCTCTTAGTAGTTTATTTCTATTGCGATTTTTGAGGAGTTTTTGTAAGAGTGATTAGGAAAGAGAAAACATGTGGAAGAAAAAAAAAACAAATTCTGACAATATTTAAAAAAAAAAAAAGAGTAAAAGGTGTTTAAAAGTCAGAGTGGCTGCCGCAGCCATTCTGACGCATCCCAGCAAGCGCGTGTTTTCTTCTTTTTGTTTTATTTTTTTATTTTTAATTTTTGACATGAACTCTTGTTTTGCAGGGAGCTATAATCCATGCTCCACATCTAGAAAGAACCCACAAGGAGATATTAGAGCTGACATAAACCCACAAATAACCACGGGTAGTGATGCTCTTAAGTGACTCACTCTCAATATGATAGCAAATTATATCGTGGATCGATTGATTCTACCCTATATTATAAATCTTGGTTCAAAATATTGTACGTCTTTTTGTTTAAGTAGACGATTTTATTTCTGTTCTTTTTGTTTGGTCAACATTCACATTTATAATAGATATATACATAAACTTGCATTTTTTTTTTTGAAAACCAAAAACTTCATATATTGCATTAACTTAAATCAGAAGGAATAAAAGAAGGGAGGGACTCCCTCCAGACTGAGCGTGCATGAACCGCTCCTACATGTTTAGCTAAGGCATGAGCAACCAAGTTGGTGCCTCTGCGTACAAACTTGATGGAATAAGTTGAAAACGAATTAAATAACCGTAGACAGGAATCTAAAATAATGCCAAGATACGAACAATAAGAACTGACGTCCCAAAAGCTATCAACGAGAACCGCGCAGTCCGACAAAATAACAATGTTGTGATAGTTGTGATCCTGTAGCCATGAAAGAGCCTCACGTATCGTCATAGCTTCGGCTAAGAGAGGATCATACGGGCAAGAGAGGGGGCCATTTACCGCTGCTACAAAAACGCCTTCCGGGCTACGCACGTAGAATCCGAAAGTTGGGGCGTGTTGGGACCCATAAAAATCGGCGTCCGTACTACATAACACTGCATCATGAGGTAGTGATGCGGCGGCTTGGTGGAGCGTGTCGTGCTGCATGGCGAGCAGTAATGGTGGCAAAGCAGCAGCACGGCCGTGAGTAGTATTCAAGTTCCAGGCGGCCCAGGTGTGTTGGAACGCGACACAAAGATGCAACGGGGATGGTAATGCGAGGTCCCAAACCGCCATGTTCCGGGCCCTCCATATCTCGTAGAGTATTCCACAAATCTGATCTTTTAGAAAACCAGCAGATGTTGCTGAGTTTCCCAACCAAAGCTCCACCCACTGCATAAAATCATGATCACCAAAGTTAGGGATTTGGAGTTGTGAAATATTCCACACACGTCTAGCATAAACACAATTGCATAAAATGTGCATAACATCCTCTTCAAGCACACCACAAGCAGGGCAAACATTTGGGATCTCCACTCTTCTTTTAACCAGGTTAGTAATTGTTGGCAAAACATTTGTAATAGCTCTCCATAGGAATATTCTCCATTTGGGGGGAACCTGTAATTTCCAAATGTTATTCCATACTGCATCCCATGGGGCATTAATTTCCCTAAGCCACCTATAACCGTTTTTGACCGTATATACTCCCCTAATATCACCCATCCAGAACCAATCATCTTTAAACTCCACACACACCAGGGTCTGTAAAATCAAACCAACATCCCTGGGAATAAATATTTGTGATATTAATTCCTAATTCCAATTTCCATGCTCATAATTTATCAAATCTGCCACCATCAAATCAGAGTGTTGCGCAATCTGATCTGAGTGAACAAACGGGTCTTGGGAGTCAGGCAACCAGGGGTGGTCCCAAACTTTAGTCATTCTTCCATTGCCAATTCTTCGCCTGTAACCACTACGAACAAGGTCCTGGCTGGCCATTATACTTCTCCAAACATAGTTTGGATTACCACCAAGCGTGGCCTCATAAAAGGTAGTATTAGGGAAATACCTTGCTTTAAAGATCCTGGCCACTAAGGACTCCGGGCAAGTCAACATTCTCTACCCTTGCTTTCCTAGAAGAGCCAAGTTAAACTCATGCAGCCTCTTAAATCCCATGCCACCATGCTTCTTGGGTACACACATCTTGTCCCAGGCCATCCAGTGAATGCCATCCACCACATTGCTTTTACCCCACCAATATCTATTCATCAGTCTTTCCAGTGAGACACATAAAGTAATAGGCAACAGGTAGATACTCATAGTGTAAGTGGGCATTGCCTGTGCTACACTTTTCAGTAACACCTCTTTACCTGCCATGGAAAGCAGCCTCTTATTCCAGCCACCAAACCTCTACCTCAATTTTTGCTCAACATATGAAAAAACCACTTTCCTGTTTCTACCAATAACTGAAGGGAGACCCAGGTACTTCCCAAAATCCTTAGTTTGTTCAACTCCTAACCCAATAGCAATGGCGTTCCTGTCCCCCAAACTGGTATTATGGCTAAAGGAAATATTGGATTTATGGAAATTAACAGATTGCCCTGAAAACTGTTCATAAATCTCTAAACAACGTTTCACCTCCAAAGTTTCCTGCATGTTTGCCTTAAAGAAAAGCAGTCTGTCATCCGCAAAGAAAAGGTGCGAAATGGGTGGTGCTCCACGAGCCACCCTGCAACCATGTATTCATCCTTTAGCCTGAGCATCCTGCAACAACAGAGACAAGCCTTCTACACATATAATAAAAAGGTACGGAGAGAGTGGATCCCCCTGCCTTAAACCCCTAGATGGGATTATTTCCTGACTCGGCTTCCCATTCACCAGCACCCTGTACCTGACCGTCCGTATACAGAGCATAATTAGTCTGACCCATTTCTCATCAAACCCCAGCCCCAACAACATACGCTCCACAAAAGACCACTCCATCCAGTCATAGGCCTTAGCCATATCCAATTTGAGTGCTGCCCACCCTACCTGCCCTAGCTGTTTCCTCCGTAAATAATGGCCAACCTCAGACGCAATAAGAATATTGTCCAAGATAAGCCTGCCTGGCAGAAAGGCGCTCTGCGACTCCGAAATAATATTATCAAGCAATGGTTTCATACGATTAGCAATCATCTTGGCCATTACTTTATATACCACATTACACAAAGCAATAAGCCTGAGGTCCACAACAAACTCAGGGGCTACCTTCTTAGGAATTAAAACAATATTCGCATCATTCAATTCTAGGGGAAAGGATGATTGAGATAAACAATTAAGCACAAAATCAGTAACATCCTTACCAACGAGGTCCCAAAACGCCTTGTAGAAGCCCGGATTCATGCCATCAGGTCCTGGCGATTTATCCTTTCCCATGGAAAACAAGGCGTGCTTCACCTCCTCAGGTTCAAACGGACGAAGAAGATCATCGTTCTGCTCTCGTGTGACACGTGGTGTAAGGGTATCCACGTGAAACATACCGGCCCCACCACTGGACTGAAATATATGCGAGTAATAATCCGTGACCAGCGAAACAAGGCCATCCCCCTCCTTCCATATCCCATTCTCATCCTTAAGCTCCATTACAAAATTCTTCCTCTTTCGGTGCGTGGCATATTGATGGAAGAACTTTGTATTTCGATCAGCACCCTGTAGCCAATGCTGTTTGGCCCTTTGTTTCCAGAAAGTCTCCTCCTGCGACAAGATGGAACACAACTGACCATCCAACTGTCTAAACTGCCCCAAAGAAACCGAGTCCATACGACCTCTCAAAGCATTCATATCCCGCCTTATAGTATTAATCCTGGAACCAAATTTATGAAAGTGGTCCCCTCCCCATTTCTTCAAACCCTGGCCACACGTCCACAACCTCTCCTGCAACCCCATACCCTGCGTGCTCAACCACTGATCCTCCACCACCCCCCTACAACCCTCATCTTCCAGCCACGCATTTTCAAAACGAAAACTACGCGGCCTCCGTGTCGTAGCTGTGCCATAAATATCCAGAAAAAGGGCCGTATGATCCGACATCAATGTCTGAATATTATATAACCTAGCTCTATTATGAATTTCCAACCAAGCTGCATCCCCCACCGCCCTATCCAACCGCTCCTCTACCCAATTCGGTATCCCCTTACTCCGTTCCCAGGTGAAAGGGTACCCAATCATAGGAATAGTCGTCAAACCACAATCAACAAGAGCCTCCCCAAAACCCTCCAATAAACCAGCTGGATGTGGCCGTCTACCCCTCTTCTCAGATTGATAAAGAAGATCGTTGAAATCCCCTATTGCCACCCAAGGAAGATCAGATGCATCCTTAAGCGATCGTAGAAAATTCCACGACTCCCTTCTCCTCGTACTTTGAGCAAAACCATAATAGCAAGTGAGTCTCCAATGATGACGATTTGGTAAAAACACAACTAGATCAATATGATTTTATGAATACTTAAGCAGACGAGCACTATTATTCTTTGCCCATAAGAACCCCATACCACCCTTCTGTCTCTGACTATCCACTCCAAAACCACCCTCAAAACCAATCCTCACACGGAGCCTCTCCACATGACTCCTATCCACCATCATCTCCATCAAGAACACAAAATCTGGCTTCCTTTTGGACACCAGGTCCACAATCTCTCGAACTGTCCGTGGATTGCCCAAGCCACGGCAGTTCCAACTCAGAATACTCATTGGGAAGGGCGGGCCTGATCAACAGGTCCCGCCAAAACAGTAGAATCAGAATCAACCATCATCACTCCCTCCTCCACCACCACACCACCCGTACCCTCCATCTCCTCACCCCTTCTCCTTTTCGGATCCACCCGTACTCCCTCTTCCCCCTCCCCTCGAGAACTCCCCCTATAAACCATTGTGGCTGGCCTGCCCCAACTAGCCGAAACATCCCCCACCCTCGGCACAACACGTTGGCCCTCCTCCGGCATAGCAAAACCGCCCCCCGTACGGTTTGCATGCATGCATGAAACCCGAACAGCCCCCCTTCCCCACCACCAAGCCCTAACTCACGATGCCTCTGCTCCCCTTTCTGCAACCAATTTTCCCCTACCGCCTTCGTCGGTGAGTTACCACTCGCCTTCAAACTTGCATTAAACGGATACAGCTCAGGTTTCAGGCCAGACACACGTGCATCAAGATAAAATTTATCCGTATGCCCTAATTTTCCACAAAAGTAACAGAACATATGCAAACGTTCGTAACGAAAATTCACCCATGTCCACGAATTATCTCGCAAAATCATCTTCATTCGCCTTTTTAACGGTGCTGTTACCTCAACCGTGACTTTGACCCTGTAGAATTTAGTCCACGGCCTCACAAAGTTTCTTTCATCCAAACGGACAAAAAGCCCTAGATAATCACCCACCTTCTCCAAAACCTTATCCGTTCGGTATCCGACTGGCAAGTCATGTACCTGTATCCAATAATCTATCGTGTTCAAAGTTACCTGGGTGGGGTGCTCGCCAGGACGCAATGGCTAGCATACTAGGGTGGCATTCTCAAACGCCCAAGGGCCATTCTCCAGCACATAAGCCATGTCTGTATCATGATAGAAAGTGAAAAGATATAGATTTGGTTGCACCTCGGCTACTTGTATCCCCATCAATGGCCTCCACACAGACGCCATAACCTGCCTCATCACATCAAACTTGACATTACGATCGGTCAGAAAATGGCCTACCAACTGCCAATACTGCTGCGCAAAACCCTCGGCTTTCGCCGCCCCCGCCTCCTCCTCAAACCGGACACCGGTTTCCTCATCGTCAAGCGTGATCCCCACACAACCTTGCGCCAAGCCTTGAACATCCATACTGCACTGTTCATGGATAGACTAGCGCTCCAGACGCTTCACAGAAAAACAAACGGAAAAGTGTGAATGAGACGTAGCAGCACCGCTCCAGAAAACCGCCGATCAAAATCAACAAAACGCCAACACAGATGCGACAAAACACCTTGCGGATCGGTGTCTAAATAGCAGCCAGCAAAGCAAAACGATTAAATCAGCGCACTAGCATCCAACGTTGCAAAAGATAAGCTGATTGTGTATGGAAAAGCATGCAAAACACAAAAAACCCTATATATCAGGGAGAGAGATGGAAAATACTTGCATTTGAAACTACATAATCTATTAAGTATAAATGTATAATTTCAAATAATTATAACAATGTTCTAATTAAATTCATAAATTGTAAGTAGTAAGTAAATAAAGTTTTTTTTTTTTTTTTTTGGAATACTATTAACTCTATTAAAGTGTACTATTGATTTTATAAACTGGTAGTTAACATATTATGTACATTCAATTAATCTATACCTAGTAATTAATCTCTAGTACTAATGTTGTTTCTGTTTTCATGAAAAAAAAAATGATGTCACTAAAGTCAATCTTTATTTAAGTTACGAAATGATGTCGTTTTGAAGGATTTACATTGTAAAGTGGACTCTGGTCCATGATATAACAATTGCAAAATAATTATATATGTACACATGTTTGTATAAATTTAGACTCTTTGAATTAAAATTACACTATTTTTAATAAAACTATCTCATGTGAAACATATAAGGCCGGTCCTTGAAACCCACTTGGTCCCCGTTCTATCCCTACAGATGAATCGATGATAGGAAATTGTTCCTCATCTCCATCCCCACGATGAATTTTTTGGGATCGAGAATCATCGTCCTTGGTCATGCTCTAGCCAAACTAATATAGTTCTTAATATGTAAGTAAAAATAACCAAATATTAAATTTTTAATCTTAAAAAAATAAATATTTAAATTTTCATCAAATTCTCAATTACATGTAAAATATAATATTCAAATTGTTTTATTGAAAAATAAAAACATAATTTTTTCGCCTTCATCCCTGTTGGGATATATGATAGGGATCGGGAATCCTTGATGGTGACAACAGAAATTGTCATCCTTAGATTTTTTTTTTTTAAAAAAAAATATTTAATAATATTAACAAAAGTATTTCTCATCAACAAGTAATTTATTAATATTTTTGTTTCTTGAAAAGTATTAGTGAAAATGTAATTTTTTTTTTTTATAGTTAAAAATGCCTTTTG